CGTCCCCGTCCCCGTCCCCGTCCCCTCCACTCCCCTCCTCTCCCCTCACCTCGCCTCATATGTTAAGGACCATTTCTCATCCCCGCACACGTTATCAGTCTTCATACTTGGTTCATAGTCGTACCCTATAGGTATGTTTCTTGTGTGTTTTTTTTCCATGCTGATAAAGAGTGAAGTGGCCTTGTATTAACTAATCCATATCTCCATCAAGAGGTTTCCTTTTAATCACGTGCACACAAAGACGTTTTTTGTTTGCGCAGTTTGGCAAGCTGAGCAGGGGCGGATCTAGGGGAGGGGTGCAGGGGGAGCACTTACCCAAGATCGGAGATGAGCTGATATTTACCGTATTAGTGGTGTTTGAGTTTGTAAGCAAAGAGTACAACCCCTTCTGAAACAAAACTCCTGGATGGTGCAACCTCCCTAAAAGAGCTCCTGGATCCGCCCCTGCTGAGGGTAGTTTGCGCTGAGGTCACCTATTGATATTAAGTACCATCCAGAGAACTATCGGCTACTGAAAAAAGGAGATATTTTGTTTTGTAATGGTTGGGAAATTTGAATTAAAAAGATTCCAGACATCAATGTTTTTAAACAGTGAATATTACTATATGCAATGTGCTACTTACTTGGTAAGTAAAATGATAGCAAAACCACAGGTAGTCCATGCTGTTCTTCTGTGAGAGTTTTAATAGGAGTTTGTGATGTGGACAATTTTTGAATATACTGTTATAAATACTACTAACTTTTCAAGTTATCTTGACCGGCTTTTTTTATCTTGGTCTGTACTTAATTCGATCGAGCAAAATTAAATCAATGAATCATAGCTCATAGATCGTCCCATCGAACCATAAACATCGATTATTTCTTATCGTATATTAACTTATTAAAACTCGAATGATTTTGAAAAAAAAACCCAACTTTTTAGTATCAAAATTAAGTAGTGCAATTTACCAGTGCACAAACTCTTGCTCAAACAATCAATTTATTATCGGGTTTGCTTCAAAACTTAGCAAAAAAAAAAAAAAAAAAAAAAAACAAAGACTGAACTGGAAAACGTAGAAGTTGGAAAACACTGATAACATCAATAATTTATTTTACCAGTTGTATTTAGCGATCGAACTACTTCAATTCGAAGTGAAATATATTCCTTCATCAATCACAGAAAGGGCACAGGGAACCCAATACAGTGCAAGTAGTTCAACATAAATCAAATCTGAGTATCCACGAGTTAACTATACATGGGACCTTTGGATGGTAGAATTGTATAAACTGAACGAGTTTCAATACAACCACCACCCCCTCCCCCCTTCCCCCCTACAAAGTAGGGGGGGATGATTCAGGTAATTAAAGACGCGTTTGTTTCTGCTGGCGTATAGTTTCCTCCTCAAGTCGTTTTGATCCATTCTCTCTTCCTTCCTGCCCCCCCCACGGAAGGATCTGATTTATCAATTATTACATACATAAACTTACATACATACGTATTATACACATACATAAACATACATATATACTCTTAACTTATTTGGAACTAAGTTGATGTACAACTATGTGCAAAATGCCAAATAAATATATTTATGTCTATCATTTGGTAAAGGGTTATCGTTTGAAGGAAAGAGATAGTTTGGTTATAACAAAAGATGCAATGATATTCCAAAAAAGGAAAAGGAAAGGAAATCCTCTTAGATCGATATCAGAAAGACAAAGGGAACCCGAACCAGGCGATCTTGTGGGTTTGAGGAAGATTCGGGGTTTTGGGGTTCCTATTTCAACTTCGTGCCCGCGAGAAAAACGGACCTAGAAAAACTTTGCTTCTTTTTTGCTTGGTTCCAGCTCTAGCCTGCTTGCATCCGAACAGCGACATATTTCTTGTTCTATACTCAGCAACGTACTCAGATAATATGTACTAAATTGTCGGATTAGTTAATCTCTACTCGTATTCTTACGCGCCCTCTCACTGGCTGCTTAGCGTGATAGATTTCCAAATTCATACTTTGAAATGTCGACCAAAACCCAGACAACACTTTACAAGAGTCGTAACTAATGAAAATCGAAATAAACTGCAAGAGCAGCTTTATGAATTTCAGCAAAGTTTGCAAATAAACATTACAGTGTGGGTACTATATGGTTTCCTGTCCAAATATCATATTGGACAAGTCCTTGCAAATTACCACTCTTTAACAACTTTTTGTAACACCCTTTGTTGATTGCTTGATATGATTCCCAGATCTTCTAAATACAAACAAACTGGAGTCGAAATTGGCCATACGTTCTGCAGTTATTCCTAAAGAATGACATATTCTGTCTAATGATTTCTGATTCTTGTTTCCTGTATGCCAATCTGCCACTTTGAAATGCAAGCCCTCAAGTCTCTGTTCAGGCGCGAAACCTTTGGCAAGAGACATGTGACCATTAACTGGTGCCCGCTCTACACTTACTTGGTCCCCAACAATTCCTTGTAGAAGCATACACTCGTTCATAACCATTACCACAACAAGCAACATACTCGTGCAGGGATTTTAAGACCTTTATGATTCCAACTGCCTCATTTTCATTCTCATCTATCATCCCGCCTAGGAATGTCTAAAATAATGAAGTTATCTACTATCAAATTGTAAGTGCAATATATACTAATAGCAATAATTATTGTCATCTTCGAATACATCTTCAAATGTGTATAATGAGGTTTGAAAATTTTTCTTTCTTATTAATGATGATTTTATCTGGTGGTGTTCTTGTCTGTTTTCTGTTTTCGTATAGTAGGGGCGGATCCAGGGGTGTTGAAGGGGTTTGCTAGCCACCCCTTCTTGCTCAAATTTATCAGTATTGTCCTTAGCAAGCTACTCACATTTTCCTGGCATTCCTGGTGACACATTTGTAATAGACACCCCCCTTCCAAAATTCATGGATCTACCACTGAAATGAATTTCAATTGTTAAACCTCTTACACTATAGTCTGTAATGTTTGTAATTATGTGATCATTTCTGGTGCATGGTTAAATATACATCAGTGGGATATCGCCTTACCACCCAATTGGAGTGAAATAAAAAGGTATTGACCAAACCGTTGAGCTGCAATCATAGATTTTGATCAATGGATTCTTTAAACCATGGCTGCTGCCATCCTAAATGCTGCTAAAAAGGAGTAGAATAATTTAGCGCGAACTTTGATTTCGTCCATAAACTTTTCTAAAGGGAAAGACAGCATGCTAGTTTTATCCGTTTTTCACAGGCAGCTGGGATTCTTCTTCGAGCCGGCACAGGTTGTTTGCTTCATTTTCGAGCTCTTTCAATATTAGTGCGGTAAGCAAGTTCTTTATTAATACAAGGATATATTTATTATTATTATTATTATTATTATTATTATTATTATTATTATTATTTCCACGCAGCATGCGCTATCTGTGTTGTATCGCTCTTCTAAAATGTTTTCAAATCTCTTTAGTTGCTCTATAAAACAACGGCGCTTCTTCAAAAGTGGTAGACACGCTTTGCAAATATAGTCACTTGATCGGTTATCGGGTAAAAGAAAGACTCTTCGGCTAGCTCTTCATGCACTTTAAAGCTTCCTTTTCCTTCAACTTTAATTCCTTTTGTTATGTTTTATGATATTAATAGAGCAGAGTATGCAAATCCTAATTCCTTCCATGAAAATTTCTAACCTGGGAAAAACCATAAAAAGCTCAGCCTGGTTCAAGTAACGCTAAGCAGCCAATGAGAGGGTGCGTAAGAATGCAACTAGGGATTAACAAATCACAATAGTCCCTTTCAAAGTTCTCTGCGCCATCTTGACTAGTAGCCGTGCCTTTGCATCGAAGCGAGACGAACGGTGAGCTTGCAATGATAGATACCTTTATTAACACTTTGGACAATTATTCGCAAGTCCCAAAAGCGAACCATCACGGGTCTTTGAAACCTCGTACGTCTTCGAATTTTCTTTCCAGCGCCAAATTTTAGTCATGACCCTTCTCTCACATCCCTATAGAACCGAGAAAGTCGCATTAGAGATTAGTCTTCGTGTCTTTAAGCCATGAAATTTGCCTGTATTCACATACTACCTCGCTTGTTCTGACCCGTACTTGGAGCTCACTGTACACCAATTCAACGGATTTCTTTCGGCAATCGACCCGAGGTCACGCCGGAAGTCTTCGTATCGTAAATGCGGGTTGGATTTGGATATAGTCTTTCTTCGAAATTATGGTGACTGCATTTTTTAACGGCCTAAGATACAAAAGTATTTAACTTATGATTTATAACTTTATAATCTCTCTTCGAAATTATGGTGAGTGTATTTTTTAACGGCCTAAGATACAAAAGTATTTCTTCCGGCGTGACCTCGGGTCGGTTGCCGAAGGAAATCCGTTGTGGAAATCCCGTGATGGTTCGCTTTTGGGACTCGAGTTTCCAACCTTCTCTTATTTCTTACTGGTGGGAGAAAAAATCTTAAAACGAGCTAAATTCAAAAAATAACCACGCAGTTCAAAAGAAGTGCTATTTCTCAATGATCGGGTAAAATTTCGAGGCTTTATTTCACGTTTCAATGATTTTATTGAAATTTTTGATGAATCTCCATACATTTCCTTATAACAGGACACCACAGAAACCAAGTTTGGGCTACCTGTGTTTATAGTAAATATATCTGCGTACGTTGCTAGGGGTCTAGAACAAGAAATCTGTCGCTGATTCGCAGACGAACTTAACGAACAGTTTGTATTGGGATGCACGCAGGCTATTTCAGTTCTCGCTCGTTCCAAATTTCCAAAGTTCTCCCAAAATCCCGGTTTTTCCCCTTCAAACCCACAAGAACGCCTGGTTCGGGTTCCCTGTGTCTTTCCAATATCGATCCCATAATGCCGCATTATCATGACCTAGGAGAAAGCCTGGGTACTAGTTTAAAACTTACTTTCAATATTTTGCCGGTTTTTATAAAATTCCCAGATAATTTCGTTGATTTTTCAAAAGAAATCTTTACTAAATGCCTTCAGGAAAGCAAAGATCGTCAGCAAATGCTCCGGATACGTCTTCGTTAAGTTTAAACGAACGGATCTTGAAGGAATGCCACGAACTCTACACAGATGAAGAGAGAGGTTAGTTTGTACACGTTGACAAAAACATGGCCAAAAAGATCAAAGGGCGACTAGCACGTAAATCGTGCTTAATTCAGCTGAAACTTTACTGGAATAACTCTAAAGACCTAATAATCACTGCTTAAAGTTTTTTCCTGATATTCGGACGGCAAGTATTATATTCTCGCGAATGTTTATAGGAGTCTGGACGTCATACACTCAACACCAAACATCGCCCCATACATTTCTTTGTATTTTGTAATCAAAATATCTTCTAGTTTTATACTCAGTATTGAAGAAGAGATACCATAAAATGATTCTAACCACAAGTCATGTACGTTAAGTCCGTAAGCGATCCTTTGGGCTTACATGTAATAGAAATAAAGTAAAACATGAAGTTGTTTACAAAAAAATGTATGGAGCAATGTTTAGTGTTGAGTATGTGACATCACAGACACCTATAGAAATTCGTAAAAATATAGTACTTCCCATTGGAATATAAAGAAAAAACTTTAACCAGTGATTATTAAACCCTTAAAGATTATTCCATTGGAGTTTCAGCCGAATTAAGTTTCGGAAGACTTTTGTGCTAGTCCCTCTTTAAAAGTGCCTCTTATTGACGTTTCGAAATAAACTTTGGGCTTTGATATTCTTTTGTTGCTATGTTATTGTGCACAGGTCTTGTTTCAATAGCGAAAGGACTTGGATTAACCTTGTTGGCACCGAGGAAAAAGATAAATGTGATTTTGATTGGCAACCATTCGGCTGGTAAAAGTTCCTTTATTAACTGGTAAGTTATTAACATATGAAAGATAACCCATTTATTTGATAAATACAGGGACGTAGGGGCATAATTGTTTTGTTATTATGTAAAAGCAATGGTCAATGCTTAGTTACTGTATGCCTATATCCAGTTCTAAATGTACTTGGGAGGTTACTTTTAAAGCACTCAAGAAGCTATGGCACTTGGCTATGCAATGTGGGACTCTTACACTTCTTTTGTGCTTAGCAAACTCCAGTATGCATCCATGCAGAACTGGATATATGCATGCTAAGCATTGACCATTCCTTCATTATCAGCTGATTGAAATCCAGCCAGCAAAAGATTAAGATTTGTGAAACCTTTTATTTCCCTAGTATACCCATTTTATTACATTTCTTTTACCTAGTCTACCCCTTTCATTGCCTTTCTTTTTCCTCACATTGTCCAGGTACATCGAAGAGCACATTCAGAAAACTGGTGTTGCCATAGAAACTCAGGGTTTCACGGTTGTCACTAGTGGAAAGAAGCGGGAATCACTGACAGTGAGTTCTGAAATTAAAGACCCATTGCCACTTACCGTGATACATCGCAATTTGTTTACATTTTGAATCGTGTCACCACCGAAAAAACAATTCCAACCTTTTGAATAAACTCTTAGATAGTCCCTTAAGCCGTAAAATAACGTAAAAGAATCATTATTGTGCCTTAGTGCTATGTTGGAAAAGGATTTAATATGAAGTCATTATTCAATATACGAATCTTTGAATTTCATGGACCACGAAATTCATCTGTGACCGCGGTGCATCACGGTAAGTGGCAATGGGTCTTTAAAATTGTAATAATAATCCATATAAAAATTTTTTTAAAGGGGGGCTAGTAAGAAACCTTGATATTATTGAGTACTGAGCATGAAACTAGTGGATAGTTTGATCACAAAATTTATAGAGCATATTTTTTTAATCAATATTTATTTTCTATTTGTTGTTTTATAAAGGGCAATGCAACTCTTCACTTGTATCCACACTTCAAGCCACTTCAACAAATAAATGGTATTAAAACAGTGATATTTTCTCCTAACTATACTCAATGATGCATTGTATTACAGTTGTAATTATACAGCTTCTCATTAATCCCATATAGGTAACTGTCCAATTATTTTCTTAATTGGACAGGTCTTGTTGATATGGGATCAATCAGGCAGCTATATAATTAATAGGTGATGGGGTTTCTTGCTCCCCAATCAAGAAATAATTAGACTCAAAAAATTCCTCTGACTGCCAAATTGGACTCGGCCTATGGCCTCATCCAATTTTGTCAGTCCTCAGAATTTTCCTCGTCCAATTATTCCTTAATTGGACAGCATGGAGTCCTACTACACATACTAATAGACTTCTTTAGTTTGGGCACAATGTTTTGCCCATTCCAAACTATGTGTCATTTCCATGAGTATTATTTCTTTGTTTAACAGTTGTGCATGAGAATCTTGGGGAGTGGGGGGNGGGGGTGGGAAGGAAATGGCTCAATAGCCCAATTTAAGACATTAATTGCACAAACATACATACATATGTATATCGATGTTTTATTCATCCTGCCCTATACCTCTACACTTTTCTACATATTATAGTTTCAGACTTGCATACAGAAAAGAATTGTCTTATCTCCCCTTCTTTTATGTACTGTAGGGTAAGATAATTTAGAAACTAAGGGTTTATTTGCAATTTTAGGTGTTGTTGAATACCTGGTTACTGAAATCTCCACTTCAAAACAGAAAAAGTTCAGCCTAATTACATTTGTTGACACCCCTGGACTTGTTGATGGTGACATGAAGTATCCATTTGATGTTGATGATGCTATCTTGTGGTTAGGTGAGTAATACTTTACAGGGTTCACATGCTGCTTATTAAACTTGTTGACTTGAAAAAGCGACTTGAAAAATTCTTAAATTTTACAATTAGAAAATTCCATGACTTTCAGTGCCTTGATCATGCTTGCAAGGTTCTAAAATAGATTTACTGTAGTCATCAAACTTTTTTCAATATGTTTGCATATTGAATGGCCTACAACTATACATAAATTACAATATGAACCTGGAGGCATTACTGTACTTCCCTCTTATGAGGGGTACTGGAAATGACTCAGAAGTCGGCCATGTGCAATTACCATGTACAGCCATAGCCTAGTTAGCTGAACATGTTCCTTTAAAAATCATTTTTGAGTCCTTAAATAGTCCTTGAATAGTCCTTGAATTTTAAGTGGATACCTCATCATGAACCCTGATCTAACATATATCAAGAAGGGACAAATGCCAAGTTTATTTGGCACAAAAATGTGCTCTTTTTTAATCTAAAAGTTTTGCAGACATGCAAACAATAACCTCATCCACTGGCAACTCTAGATTGACTCTTTTTGGGAGTCCTATGTTTTTTTGAGATAATGAGGAAGAGGAAGGCTGGCAAGTGTCCTCATCAATTTATTGGTAGTGACCCCAAGCTCAAAATCTCTGTAAAGGGTATCAAAAGTGATGGTTGACTGGGGAGGAGGTTGAGTATTCCAATGCATCAAAATCATTTTCTTTTGGGAATTACACTTAAATTGTTGTTTTGCTGATATTCTATTGGTTTTGTCTCTGCAGGTGGTTTGGCAGATCTGATCTTTGTATTTTTTGATCCCATTGGACAAGCACTTTGCAAGAGGACGTTGAATCTTGTTGGTAAGATAAGTGATATGTTTCATTGCATTGCAATTCTAGTAATACATGCTTAGTAATATTGATTATTTTATTATATGATAGCGGATGAATTTTTAACCAGTCAAAAAGTTTTACGTTTCTGGGTTTCATTTCACACGGGGTTGAGCTATCCACATGCTGTGCAAGTTTGGATCCAGTTCCAAGTTTCAGTTCAGTTCCATTATACAATTAAAGAGACAGTTCCCTGTAAACAGTTTGTACAGGTCAATTTTTGTGGTTAAAAATTCGTCCAGTACAATAAGCAACCTAAATCCACTAATTCCCAGGGGTTTGTGCTCGCTCTTTAAGTTAACCTTCTTGAACACCTGTCCTTAAGTGGCTGGTAATAGTAATATCTACATGTAGGTGTTGGTATGAAATGGTGTTCTGCAAGATTTTTTCAATTTTGCATTTTTTTCTTTCTTTGTCCACTTTTAATGAAGAATTGTACAATATGTATTACTGTATTAATTAACTTTTAGAATTATTTTCTAATTAACAGAGAAATTAAATGAAAAGGCTTCTGACCGTCTGAGATTCTACCTTAGTAAAGCTGATACAGCAGGACATGAGAGTGATAGACAGGTATGTACTCTTAAGTACTCAGTTGAATCATACAGTCTTTAAGCTTCTTAGAAAAAAATGTATTTAATTAACACATTATAAATCTTATTATCTTAAAATTGAACACTGAGAAAGGGAGTAAAGAGTACACATTCAAATTGCTGGAAGAATACACCAGTAAAATGTTGCAGTGGTCCCAATCCACTAAAAGGCATATCATCTTTTTCCATTTCAGCTCATGTGTCATCCTCTTAAGAATATGATTCTTTGTGTCTTTTTTGAGGTATAACCATTAATCAAAGAAATAACACTCTAGAGAATGACACATGATCTAAATTGGGAAAACAGTGGATAAGGTCTATATTGGTGCTTGATATGTAACCGTGACTGTTTTTTTATGTACCTACAGAAAGTACTCATGCAGATAACTCAGGAACTATGTAAGAGGCCTGGTTTGAATAAAGCTGGTTTTGACATGCCGACCATTTATGTTCCAAACCTCATGGACAAGGTACATGTATACAGTACCAACAGTACATTTTGCATAGGCCACATTTATGACTTTATGTTAACTTAACTTAAGACTATCACACTCTCAGACCAATAGAACTTTTTACCTTGGGCTTCATGTTTTCCATTTCTGACCATTTGTCATTTTTTAATTCGATTAGCRCCTGCTATTTTTAGATGACATACAATATTCTGGCCTTTTCCCCCACTGTTAATTATAGTTCTTTTCTTGTTTTTGTAATTGAATTGTACAAATAAAGAATGTTGTCTTTGTTTAACTGAAATGGGAAAGCATTACATCCAAGCTAAAGAGATTTATTACCAAGATTTTATTTATGGCAGTAATGAAATAAGATATATAGTACTTTGATTGCTAAATGAGCTTGTGACTGCACAGTAGTAAAGTACATGCTGTTGCATGATAATGTATACAATATATACACCTGTAGGGCATACAGTGATATATCCCACGCCTGATTGAAAATACAGCCAATGAGAATTGCAGTCTAGTTATTTTCAAAGCTACGAGTGGGAACAATTAGTCATACTATATTTTCTATTGGTACACTATAGAACACGCTTAATTTTCTTTCATCAACTCATAAATTGTCTTATTTCTCATATATTTTTAATGTGGTGTGTATTTAAATTTTCCAGCCATCTCGATGTGCAAACCAGATCGAAGAAGTGTGCAAAGAGCTAGAAAAGACTATAAACCACACGATCCAGAACACACTCAACACGCTAGAGAAAGATTGTCACAAAATATCAGAACTTGTGGACGAAAACCTAGCAAAGGATGCGTAAGTTGGATTTTTTAAGTTTTATGTTTTATCGAACCTTGAAATAACCCTTTTGGCTGTAGACTGATCTCATTTAGGTCTAAGGGAATCAAGGGTGGGATAGCTGTATTGGCATCATGATAGAGTTTGTTGGGTCTTTTCATTGATTCGAGGGGTTTCTCCGAATTTTCAGGTTTTCCTCCCTCTACAAAACCAGACAAAACCTCCCTCTACAAAAAACAGATCTAACAAACTAATTTTCAATCTATGGTTAATCCGGGCCCAGACTGGAAGTCGATGGTGTTAATCATTTCCCGAATAGTGTTTTTTAGCAGTGTCTTTTGTTGTCATTCTTCAGGGAAGCGCGTTCTTATAATCTTAAGGCAAGATTTAAGGGCTTTGTGTTTGCATTCCTTGGGATGTTGCTTCCGTTTGTCTTGCTTGTTCACTTCGTGGCAAGTAGCTCGCGAGGTACACTGGAAAATCTCCTTGGAAGCGATTTCGCCGGAAAGCTTCAAACTTATACTGTAAGTAAAGAGTATTTTTCATACGACTATGAACCAGCACAGCACATTCAAGGAAAGTAACCTTGGTGGCATCTATAGGGGTGGCATCTATAGGGGTGGCATCTATAGTGGTGGCATCTATAGGGGTGGCATCTATAGTGGTGGCATCTATAGTGGTGGCATCTATAGTGGTGGCATCTATAGGGGTGGCATCTATAGTGGTGGCATCTATAGTGGTGGCATCTATAGTGGTGGCATCTATAGTGGTGGCATCTATAGTGGTGGCATCTATAGGGTTGGCATCTATAGTGGTGGCATCTATAGTGGTGGCATCTATAGTGGTGGCATCTATAGGGGTGACATCTATAGGGGTGGCATCTATAGGGGTGGCATCTATAGGGGTGGCATCTATAGGGGTGGCATCTATAGGGGTGGCATCTATAGNCATCTATAGGGGTGGCATCTATAGGGGTGGCATCTATAGGGGTGGCATCTATAGGGGTGGCATCTATAGGGGTGGCATCTATAGTGGTGGCATCTATAGGTTTGGCATCTATAGTGGTGGTACACTCGCCTCTCACTTCTTGAGTCTGGGGCATCACACGTGAACACAATTTGTTAGGTCTCTTTGTTAATGGATTTTTTCATGATAGAGTTTGTTGGGTCTTTTCATTGATTCGAGGGCATCACACGTGAACACAATTTGTTAGGTCTCTTTGTTAATGGATTTTTTTCTCTCTCCGGGTCTTCCCCGTCCACAAATTCGATTTGCGAATTAGCCGTGTCCTGACTTTCATCAGCCCAGAGGTTTTTTCAGGGTTTGGTCTGTGAGTTACCCGTGCCCTGACTTAGATCAGCTCAGAGGTTGTTTCAGGGTTTGATCTGTGAGTTAGCCGTGTCCTGAATTTTATCAGCCCAGAGGTTGTTTCAGGGTATCGATAAAATATGAAGGCTTTTAAAGGTCACGGAAAGAAATAGACCCCTTGCATATGTGACGTCCAAACAGCTCAATTTGGAGGACAAAACAGAAATTTAATCTCATGAGAATGGAAAACTATTTTTATGTCCTCCAAATTGAGCTGCAGCATTCTGACGTGCTGAAAGGGTTCTATTTGGGACACACATTTAACCAAGCAGTGCGTGAGAATACTTTACATTGTAACACSGCATGGCACGTTAGTAAACGTGAATATTTACATGTAGTTGTTTGTTTCCTTGGTTGTTATTATCAGGCTCCTGTAGAAGAAATGTGGAGATCCATACCAATAGAATACCGCTACCACACTCTTATTGGAATTCTTGTCTTCTCGTTTCTTCTTCTTTTAATTGGAAAGTTTTCATCGAAGTAAGTAACATTTAGTCTAATGCTCAGGTCAAACGTTGAACTTCATATGCATCGGATAAGACGGCCTTCTTTTTTGTCATTAGGTTAGGTTCATGTGAAGTTCGCCGTTATTTTCGTCATAAAGGATTTGAAACAATTCCCAAAATAGTCAAAAGACAGAAATATGACAGCCATGTTAGTGGTATGAAGATAAGAAATATTTTGCAAAGTATACTACCAACATAGGTGTAGCTTGTAAAAGAATGCATCGCTGTTTATTTCTGACAGGGTGAAGCCCACTTTTTCAAGAAAACAGAAAAGACTACTGATGGAAAAGCAATCTTATGTACAAGGCTATGTCAAGGGGAAAAAGGTACGTTATCAACCCTCATATTTCCCGTCCTTAAAACCATTCTACTCCTATCATCTCTTTTTAGACTATTTATACCTTGGTGCCTTAAGGTGACTGCCCTGACTTCGTTCTAAACCGTCATAGACTATCGAAAGAAGAAGTGTTATTCGCCATTATTTTATTTCCTTGGAACTTCGTTTCCCCCATCATGAACTTTCTCATGCGACATCCATATTGACGGGGTTACATGAGGGTTACACGATGTTAAAAAAATTTAATGCGAACAAACAACTAAACAAGACGCGGCGCGATCAATATCCATTGTTAAAGATCACTTTTTCAAACTAACGAAAGTACTTTGTGTAAATTCGCAAGTTTTGGTAATAGTTTTTTTTTTTTGCCGGGATTTTCATTTATTATTTTTTATTCCTTCACAGGAGAAGTTATACAAAGAATATCTTCAGCAAAGCGTTGGATCCCATGATTTATGAGCAGGCTCTAAAATCATTAAGATGGCCACATTTATATGCTTGAAATAGCCATATGATTAATATAAACTCAATAAAACAGCTATACGATGAACACAAAAAAATGAACATAACCGCAGTCTATCTTACCATTGATAGGATCAGTTTGATACTCAATGGTAAAATAAGAAATTATAGTCCGATCACGTGTCACACCAACCTCCCATATTATATCCTAGTGTGGAACCCATTTCGGTATAATCGGATTTATAATCGATTAATTTGTAAAATTTTTTACCCAGCAAAGAATAGCTATAATATTAATATGACTCATACTTCAGAGCAAGGCAAAATGACGTTTTATATAATAAATATTGTACTATTTAACCTATAGCTTATTGTCTTTAAGTAAGACTTCTTCGATTCAAAAATAAACCCCATGTAATTGTTGGGGGGTGCTATGTAGAGGATCTCCCTTCCACTCGGTTAGCACTTGTTCTCGTAGACCAAAAAGACCTCTGAGTGTCAAAACGCACAACACAAAAGATCTGTTGTGAATACCCTCACTAGACGCGCTTCTATTATTCCTTCCATCAAAGATCTGAGAGGGCAAGAACAACTGCGTATCTGCAAAAGCCTCAACATCAATGGTCATCCTGATACAGTTGATAGATAGATAATTTGTAACACCGTATGGTATGTAAAAATGAAACTGACGTATCGGACGTTAGTCCTTCGTCGGAGTTTACTCCGATGAAGGACTAACGTCCGAAACGTCAGTTTCATTTTTACATACCATACGGTGTTACAAATTATCTATCTATCAACTGTTTTACTGAAAACACCGACGCAGTTTACACTAGTTTTCACTAGTTTTCCACCTTGGTCATCCTGATAATTTTATCCGTAACGCAAACCGGACGGCTATCAACGCTAGTCAATCCGAGTCAGGGTTAGTGGGATTTGCTGTGTTACCCCATGTGCAAGGGATTTCAGATAAAATGAAGCGTGTGGTACAAACAAGCACAACGTGTAAGACTTCAAAAACCCAAGGACCAACATCCTTAAAACAAGGTTGCGGGCATTGTTTTACAAGATCCAGTGTAAAGATTGTAACTACACGTACGTCGGGGAAAGTAAACGTTGCTGGGATTGCAGAGCAGCCGACAAATCTATGACAACCAGCTACGTCCACCCTGGTTATGGCACCATTCTGGAACATAATGAATGAAACTACAGACGACGAATGTTTCATTTTCATGAACCTCTACTCTACCGTGGATAAGAATGCGGTCAACGAAAAAAATGCCGTTCCCTAGGGTGTACGTCCCATAGTTATAAACTATTGCTAAGATAGAGTATGAGCGAACCTTGAACTTGATTGATATGCCTGACGAAAACTCACAGTTTTGGAGTCGTAAAATTGTAATATATTTTTCAAATACCGTTTTAGATCCGCTACGACACTTTTTTTTACCCACGTCCTCCCCCCCCCCNCCACCCTGCCCAATCATCGATGACCTGTCCCTACTACTTATTTTCTCAGAACAACTACTTTATATTTTTTCGAAAACTTAAAATTTTTAATTTTGAAGGAACTATTGTTAAATTCAAAGAAAAATATATCCCGTACACAATTTTTATTTTTGTCTTATTAAAGCTTAATCGCAAAACGCCGATTTATACAATTTTGAAGAAATCTCAACAGTTTTGAGTTTTTTTAATATACAAGCACATCGTTATCTTATGATATTATATCAAACGTTCCATAGTCGGCCAACCGTCGGCAAACTTTCTACCATTATCGGCGTTTATGTTCGCCGACCCACGAAGTTTGATGACTGGTTTACAGGCTAGCATTTAATTAAATCTTTAATTGAGTAAAAAATATCACCCCAAATATTCATTGATTTTAAAAAAGCAGTTCTATAATTATAGTCATTGAAATGCTAGAAAAGTGGTTATACTGAAATCTGAAGATCTGAAACTATCCAATAAGGATCACTAATGATACCTTGTTATTCGCATTTGTATTAGATCTGAGGCATGTCATGTCGAGTATTTGCCTGTTTGAGAAATGATTGATTATCGTTAATCTTTGTCAACTTTACTGGATGCTCATTTGACAGAATAGACCTAATTGGCTAACGTGTTGCTATGTACGTTACCACCCAATTCAAACCTTCTGGGAATAGAAGCGTTTGTCTCTACGAATTCAACTGTGAAACCAAAATATAACGAAGAATGAAACTTAGTCCCATGTGGTTTGAATTGGGTGGAAACGTACATAGCAACACGTTAGCCGATTAGGTCTATTGACCCGGAAAATCTTAGTTTGTTGCCCTTTTGAAAATAATTCAAAACCTTTTGAAGGAATATCGATTCTTTATTTCAGTTCCGGGTTTCACAAGATAAATTTTAATCACCCTTTTGACAATATTCTCAGTATTGATTCTATATGGGGTACGAAGAAGTCGAACTCGAAAAAATTTCATAGTTTGAGTGCGGCTTCTTTAGTGCGGAAGTTACAAGGGTTTTTCCATGTCAGATACTAATTTTGTGACGTATGAGCAGGCATATGGTTATTTGTTGTTCCTTGTAATTCGAAACACCGGCTTCTATGTGAAAACTAATTTGCTATAATTTCTATAAGAGCAATGGGGAAAACAATGACGTGTTTCAAATTTGATTTATCTGTGCCAGTAATGTTTTGTATAATATTTGAATATTCCTCTTACGTCACAGCATTTGCATATGGCATAGAAAAGCATTTATAACTTCAAGAAGCCGCTCAAAGTATAATTTTTTTTCCGGGTTATTCTACATCTTACCCCATGTAGAATCAATACAGTGAATATTGTCAGAAAGGTGATAGGCACCCTCAAGTTAACTGGGAGCTTAACTATTGAAACCGTACGATTCAATTCAAGAACTTCCTAAGCTAGTACTTGATGATTTTGCATTATGTGTTCAGTGTTTGCTAACAACACAAACGAAACTTGCCTCCGAAATGAATCGATCGTCAGTGCCCCACAATGTATTAGCCTTGTTAAAACCTACGAGGGACTTAAAGTGGTACTTCTGTTTTTCTATATTGTGGTGATGGTCCTAGCAATTCTCGGTAACACTTTGGTCATCTATATCGTGTACTCCAACAAACCCATGAGAACCTCTACAAACATCTTTATTGTCAACATGGCCTTCTGTGATCTTGGGATACCATTTTTTGTTCTTCCAAAGAGAATGTCCGAGTTGTTTGTTGGAAAATATGTGTGGCTGATACCTGGAGATGTTGGACTTGCTCTCTGTAAACTGCTACCTTTTGTGCACGATGTTTTTATTGTCTGTTCTGTCTTCAGCCTGCTTCTCATCACATTTGATCGATTCTGTGCTGTGTTGCTACCACACAAGCGTCACTTATTGTCCAAAAAGGTTGTCCTCATTTCGATAACTTTTGCCTGGGTTCTTTCTATCGGCATTTGTGCTATCATTCTAAAAGCTTTCCTCGTTTATGACGTGAATGGGAAAAGGTTGTGCAATTCATTTTGGTATACTCAATCATACATGGCATATTTTATTACCATGATATGCTTTAATATTTTCATTCCCATAGTACTGGTAACAATAGCTTATTCAGCTATTTTCTACAAACTCAAACATCATGTTCTTACCATTGGCGACTCCTTTTCGAACCGCCAAAGACAACAAGAACACCTGCGTCAGAAAAAGATTATCAAGATGGCCTTTGCTATCGTCTGTGCCTTTGCAGTGTGCTGGTTACCATACGCAGTTGTAGTATTTATCAGAATCTCATTCATTTTTTCATCGCCATCGCCGTTTGCTTCTTGTAGTTTTTGGATAGCTTCCTCAATTTCCTATTATTTCATGATTCTCATCTCAGTGACCAACCCAGCAATATGTTTCACATTTGGCACATCATTTCGAGAGGAACTGTGTAAAATTATTCGGCGGGTTTTTGGATGTTGTTTCACTAGAAGAGTTGAGGTGGTGGACATGGCTATGTCAGAAGTCAGATTATAGCAACGAAAACACGGACGGAACGAAAAACAACAACAACAACAAAAGCAACT